AAAAATACTGGATTAAGTTATAGCACAGCTTGCTATGCAAGCCGGGTCAACTGAGTCAATTACAGTGAAGTGAACTACAGGTTAGCAGGTTGCATGAATTCGTGATCTCCCCGATGTTATGGGCTCAGCCAATGTGGGAACGGCAGCACAGCCACCTCAGAAGGCCATCGCTTCCCAACGCATTGTTCTGTAGGAATAGGTCTCCTTTCCCCTTCGGGAAAGAACTTCTAAAGCGAACTCGGAAACTCGAAGCAGCGGATGAGTCGCTACCGCCGAGTAGTATTCCTAAGTCTACGACAGCATCGTTTGGCTTGAGACGATCTAGCCGAGGTTGTGGGCGTCGTCTATTATCCGGGGAGCCGCTCTAGCAGCGAAGCCTCCGGGGTTGTCGCTCACCGGCGTCGGGGATGGCGCTGCCCTTTGCCTTCGAGGAGTCGGTCTTCGAGGAGGGCGGCGAGGCGTCCCGGGGTCGCGGCCCTCTTGCTTCCCCCTACAGCGCCCGGCGCTGCGAGCCCGAGGTGAGGGGGGCAAGTCCACGGACACTCGTGTCTTCAGACCCGCGTGTTGCGGCTCGGGCGTGCAGTACGGGTTGGAGGAAGGATATTGCACTCTGCACATGATCGGAGGCAAGCTAGCCCGCAGGAACTGAGCGGAAGATGGGGGTGGATTTCATTTAGTGTTGGGGGGGCATTGCCCCACTTAGATGGCCGCCCCAATCCTTGAAAATCTGAACAAGGTGGGATTTAGTGCTGTTATTATTTATCACGTCAATGCCTGCTGAAATCAAAGCAGGCTGTTGGAGGTTGGTTCCTGGAGAGGAGACCACCAGGACAGCCCAGGGAAGCTCCCAATCCCGGCAGCAATTTAAAAGTGAGAGTTCCTGCAGTGTTCTTCAGGATGCCTTTTCAATAATAATAACAACAACAACAACAAAACAACAACAATAATAATAATAATAATATTTTTATCCTGCCTTTACAAATAAATAAATAACTCAAGGCAGTGAATGCACCTATTAGTCCTGCCTCCCTATTTTCCCCACTACAACAACCCTGTGAGGTGGGCTGGACTGAGAGAGAGTGACTGGCCCAAAGTCACCCAACAGGCTTTCATGTGTAAGGCAGGACTAGAACTCACAGCCTCCTGATTCCTAGGCCAGCTACTTATAACCGCTACACCAGACTGGCTCTCAATTATCTAGTCTATCCTGGGATCTCCTGGTGGTCTCCTCTCTGGGCACTGGCCTCCAACAGTCTGTCAATGGTGACACCAGGAGTTGAACTCCACTCAAAGGAGCCTGTACTTCTTTGGGGGTGGAGGGGGGGGATCCAATTCTGTAGTTATGGGATAGAAGGGAAGAGGAGTGAGGGCACTGTGGTGGTCTTGCCCAGTTGGAGGTCCTGGTACAGCAACTCCTGGGATTCTCCGCCAGCATTCTGGGAGGTTCAGACCAAACCCTTTTGTGAGGGGCATTGGTTGGGGGAGATTGTAGGAACTAACACTAAAACCCCCTGGGTGTTTAAGGGAGACTGTCTAAACTTTGGGTTTAACTTTTACAATGCAGATACTGGAATTCCTTTGTAGCAATACAACAAACTGCCTCTCTCCCCCCACCCCCCGCCCCTTGCCAGTGGTTTTGTGAGCAGGTGAACTGCCAGGATGATCTCGAGAGGGTCAACGTAAGAAAGTTCAGAGGAGATCTGGCCTATAAGCAGCAAGAATTCCAGGTATTTTCATGGTTGCCCTGCATGCGTGAACCGGCCTTGTAAAACTGGCGCAAATTCCCAGCCAACTTGTTGAAGATCTATCAGTTGTAGTCCATCGCAACCCAGGTTCAGCAAGGTTATTTTATATATTCCTGAAACAATCTGTCTGGTTGCTTTTGTTTCAGCTTTGCCTCCTTAATTGCAGACGTGCGGAAAATAAGGAAAATGAAATTCTGGGAAAGCCAGCACGTCCCCTGGGTGCCCGATTGGGGATTAATAGCCCAGTTCTATGAAAAAGAGCCTGTTTTGAGTCTGATGGGACTTAAAGTCAAGAAAGCATTTATTTGTTTGTTTGTCAGTCAAATTTGGACACTGCCCATCTCATGAGAAAGTGACTCTGGGCAGTATCCGTGTGATGCTCGGGTTTACTTTTAATCGCATACGGTTGCTACCTGATGTTGAATAGTTTGGCACATATTGCAGCCCCCTCACACTTTTGGAGTGACACTAAGGTTTGGCAAATCTAATTTCAGAAGGCTCTTCAGGAGTATTCCAGTTGTCTTGCACTTGTACCTCCCAGTAATACTGCCATGAGAAGAGATTTAAAAGAGAGCCAAGCCCGCTGTTTAGCTCATCTGGGGAAACATGAGGAAGCCTTGAGAATTGCAGAAAACCTGGTTGGTACTTTTCCAAGTGTCTTTCTCTTTATAGCCTGGATCCTCAACATAGCGCTCACAGATGTCAGTATATCTGGGGTTATTTCTTTTCATGCCTGTCATGTCCCATTTGGTTTTTTTTTTAAAGATTATTTTTAATTAAAAATAAATAAATGGGAAACTAGCATGCTGTCACGTAAACTGCTAGCATCAAGCATAATCTTTATTTTCAAGAATGCTTCTGGACCCACATGGACACCGGAGACATTCTTGGAAAATAAAAATGATAGAATGATATCACCTTGTTTTTTATTTGGGAGTAAAAAAAAAAGAAAAAGCTGAGAAAAAAATAAAGCTGAGGCAGCTGAGAGTCGAGGGAAGTAAAATGTTTCAAAATGGAAATGTTTTCTGCTGGAAACACCTCCTTTCAAGTTTGAAAGGAGCTGTTCTGGTCTCACAAGACGTGTGAGCTTGGAATATTTCTGATATTCAGCCTGTTCTGAACTCAGAGTATTTCAAAATCACTAGTTTGTCTTCTGATGATCTTATGACCAGCTAGACCTATCATGGAAACTGTTTCAAAAAGCAGCCTTCATTATGCACTTAAAATTGTAAACATACACCTCATTCTTGAAAGCTGGTCTGGTGTAATGGGCAGAGTGCACTGGGAAGACCCGAGTTCTAATCCAGCCATAGGCATGTAAGCCACCCGAGTGTCTTTGGGCCAATCTCTCTCTCTCACCCCAACCCACTTCACAGGGTTGTTGTTGCTGGCGAAAATGGGAGGAGGGAGTGCTCTGAATGCCACCTTGTGCTCTTGGCAAAAAGACAGGATAATAAGTGAATGTTGGGGGTGCAGCATTCTAGCCTGCAAGGATTCCATCAGTACCCAATTCTCTGCCACTTTCTCGACTTTGTCTCCTACAAAATCCATCCATCCATCTACTGCCACTATACTCACTGGATCAAGATGGGAGACAATCTCCATTGACAGGAAGAGAAATCACTCCGGTGTGTGTTGCACCAAACAGCTTGCCGTACAGCAGAATGTACCGTCTGGGTTGTTTGTGGAATAGCTTCAAAGCATTGTGTTGAAATCTATGTGTTAATTTTTTAGATTACCATTAAATGTTGTCATTTCCAGAGATTTGGGAAAGAAGTCATTAGAGCAGCGTTTCTCAACCTTGGCCGCTTGAAGATGTGTGGACTTC